GAAAATTACAAGTTAATATTATCTATGTTGTATTGTACTTAAAAAAAAAACATTTCCCAATTACATTTTAATTGGGTTCTGACCCTAAGTCTGGAGTTTTGCAGGTCCTGATTTAGACCCCCAAATGAAGTCCAATAACCAGCCCAGGTAATTTACAATTCTGGGAACTGAAAAAAAAAACTGGCAGATATGATTACTAATACATGGTCAGAAATATTGAAAATGAGAGAAGTGCCAGGATGTTGGGAAAGGAAAAAATATCCATTGGCTAATTAAGGATTAGCCATATCACCCTTACCTTCTTTTGAAAAAAGACAAGCTCTTTAAAGAGATAGGCAAGGCAGGAGAGAGTTCTGAGTGTTAGCGCTGTGAGTGGAGAAGAAAGCCAACATCAATTATCAGGAATTAAATTTCAGAGAGGCTCAGACTCAGCAAGTTCGGTTGGCAGAGACACTGTACCAAGGAGAGCAATATGAGGATTACACCAGTAGAGAAAGGATTTTGGGGATGCTTCAGTGCCAGAAATGTGAATTCCTTTGGCCACATATATTCCCTAAGTGTGTACCTTTCTACTAGTATATTCTATATGTGTACCCACTCCTTCATTCTTTCCATAGACATGCTCTATATAGTTGTGGGAGAATGCCCCTTAGGTTTATGGATGAATGATTTGTTTCTATTTTTATGATGCCATTTCAGAAAATGCCTTTGCTTTGAGCTGTGTCTTCTAGCAGACTATTAAAGGTAAACAACATTAGTGTGGGCTCATGAATTACAGTTTTAGGACTCATTAAGTCCCTTGAATGGGGGGAAAGGAAAGAGGTGGTAATTCCACTGGGGACTCAATCTGCAAGTGTAAGTTTGTAAGTGATACACTGGAAAAATTCTAGTACCGATCATGAGATAGTCGGTCAATGTCTAGAAAGGGAAGCCGTGACTGCAAAGAGCCAGTATAGCTTCATCAAGAACAAGTCATACCAAACTAGCCTTTTTTTTTTCCCTGTTTTTGACAGTTATTACATAAACAGATTGGGGAAGGCTATAGATAGTTAACCTAGGTTTTAGCAAGGCATTTCATTGATATAATGTTCTCATGGAGAAAATTGAGTTATGTTAAGTAGTTGATAATACAATTGTGAAACTGGATAAAATGGCTCAGAGAATAGCATTAAACATGAATAGCATTGTATTCACTCCTGTATAGAAATCCACAAGAAATCACAAGGGTGAATGGTGAAGAACAGTGGTTTGGGTGAGGACTGAGGAAAGGAGAAACATACGTGATATCATGGTGGGTCGATTTTCAAAATCACCCAGCCATAAGGAGAAATCCTGTAATGAGTCCAGAAGGAGATCACAAGGCTGACACAAAGGGAGGATCGAATAACCACTAGAGACAGCAAATATTTTTATTGTTCATTGTTTTCGACCAGTCTCCTGCTGAAGGCAGCACTTGGTTGGGTAGCTTCTAGATATTGAACCCCACAAAGACTTTCACACTCTTGTTGATGCCCCAGAGCCCCTCAGGATACACACTTATGTAGAGTTTTAGGGCAAGAGCTACCTGGCACCAATAGGAGGCTGCCCTGTCATCCACAGACACAGGGAAGGTATAATCAGGACCTAGTGTAATAAGGGCATTTTCTAAATTACCTAATAAGGAATGAGGGATAAGGGGCAGAGATATAGGGAACTTAACTGGCTCAGTGGATAGAGCACAAGGCCTGGAGTTAGGAAGACCTGAGCTCAAATGTGGCCTCAGACACTTACTATCTGCATGATCCTGGGCAAATCACGTAACCTCTCCTTGTTACTGCATTCTATGTCAGTTCATATAAATCTTTGCATGTCTCTTTGAAATCATCTATTTCCTCACTTCTTACAGCCCAGTAGGATTCCATCACATTCATATACCATAACTCATTCAGCCATTTATTAATGGGCTTAATTTCCAGTTTATTGTCACACAAAAAAAGTTGCTATAAATACTTTTGTACATATAGGACCTTTTCTTATTTCGTGTAGCTGGGTCAAAGGACACACACTGTTTAGTAACTTTTTATGTATAATTCCAAATTGCTTTCCAGAACAGGTGTATCCTTTCACAGGTCCACCAAGAGAAGATCATTGTGTTTTTAATTTCCATGGCTGGTTGGGTATAGATCAGTTATACAATTAAAGGGCTTAATGTCATTCCATTTGCACACCTTAGGAAAGGACCCCCCTTCAGTGGGCTCACTATCACTATCGGTTTTTTCAATTTGGCTGCTAAGCCAAAACACAGGGTGCCTACTTCCTGGATTTATGTCAGACTTGATTTTCCAATGAATCTGAAGATCTATAATCAGAGTTATGCTATAGTCAGTTTGATAGGCTAGAATGGTCCCATTGCAACTGTGGCAGTCACTTGGATGCCAAACATGGGTCTTGGGCTGAAAATGCTGAGGGAAACTCTCTTGGCCCTTGCATGTAGGCATTCTGGTCCTATAGTCACTTGGGTTCTGGTGTCTAGGAGACTCAGTAAAGGTCTAGTTTCCCCACTTGGCCATGGGATGGTACTGGGACATAAGGCCTGTGGTTCTTCCCTGCTGCAAGCCCATAGGGAGAAGCCAGCTTTTGGCTAGGGGTGAGGGGGTGAGATCAGAATAGAAACTAGCTGGAGTGTGATTTCCTCCCCTACCTCAGAGGGAGATGGGGATAACAGAGTTGAAGGCCAGAGATTTCAGTCAAGCAGAGCACAAATCCTTCTTGGGTATATCCTCCTCAGAGGTACCTGAAGGTTAATTTGTAATCTGTTCTAAAGGTGACTCCCCTCCCCCTTCCCATCTTCCTCATCTAGATCTTCCGGTTTTGCCCCACTATCCCAATCTAATTATCCACTACATCTGCATATCTCTACACTACTAAACAAGGTGTCCCCCCCACCCCACAACCTACAGTCTGCTTCCTGCTTCCGCTACAAGTATTAGTTCTTAAAGGAGCCTTTTCTGTTTAATGTTTTATCTCTTAGCAAAACATTACTATTTCTTTCTCCTCTCCCTCCTTTGGTCAAAGGGAAGTGGGGATGGGGGGTGGGGAGGGAGTTTAGAAGAGGGGAAAAGGGAAACTTCCCAGATCTGTAGGTCTGATGTCAAGGGGCTCATCTTATTGACAGCTTCAAAAAGTTATCACTTGAGTCAGACGTGGGAACAGTACAAGTTCTATCTCCATTTGCACTTTTCTGTGCAGCCAGCCCTTCTACACCACCATGAGGAACAGCCAAGGAATAGAATCCTCAACTCCCTTAAAACTTAATTTCTTGTGTCTGGACAACCCATTGCTCAGAATCTTGGGTAGTTCAACCACTGAATGTCTTCATAATCTAAAACTCTTGGCCACTTGGACGTTGCACCCAATGGGAAAAAAAAAAAACAACTTCCATCCCCAAGAGGTTAATTTCTTATTCTCAAACAACTCATTGCTTGAAATCCTGGGACAGGGGGAAGGGGGCATCCAAAGAACACTCTGACCCCTTCAACACCCTTGTAACATTCTCTTGAGTGCCCAGTCATTCCAGTCCTCAGGTAAGATTCCCATCATTGTAGCATTGCCCTTTCTGAGGAACCCTTCCCTTCCTCCCATCCTTCCCCAAAAGGCTACCTGGCTATCTATGTTCTTCATATCTGACTTCCGGCAACAATTTGTAGTGTGGGAGAGTTTGGGTGAAGAACAGTAAAGCCACACAGGAATAGCACTTAACAAAAATATCTAACAAAGCGAAACTCACGGGGGGAGAACAGATGCCAACAACGATCAATCTCAGTGTGTGCCCAGGTCTCCTTCCAATGGTAGCACATTGTGAGGTAGCTTCTAGGTGTGGAATCTTGCAATGGCTTTCTCACTCTGAGCTAACTCCTAGAGCCCCTTGGGTCATTAGCTATATAGACAAACTCATATAGAAGGCTGCCCTGTCCTCGGTGAGAGAATATAGTTAGGATCAGCGAAAGAAAGGTATTTTCCAAATGGAATAATTTGTAAGAAGTGAGGATCAAAGGGCAGCAAGGTAGGGAATATAATTCTAACTTTGCCAATCCACAAGAGGCTGAGAGATGGTCAGGGAATGCCCAAGCTTCTTGGTTTACGAGGCTTTGGGGTTGGAGCCATACTAGTAAAACAGGTTTTTACCTGTTCACAGTGGACTATTACCCAGGGATGTAATCCCTAACGAGGGATGTCAAAGATATATCTGTCAGCAGTCTTGCAAATTTAACCAAAAGGACTTTAGAATGAAGAGAAAAAGGGAAGAAATTTGCTTATGAATAAACAAGCAAGATACCATAGAAAATAGCAACTAAAATAATGAAAGAATAACCATAGAAAAGGCCAGTGTTTCACAAAAGATAAAATCCAAGAAAGGAATCATCGATAAAACCCATGGCCTCAGAGATCTATACAAAAATGCACAAATATTGGTAATAAGTAGGAAGAACCAGAGGTTCTAACACAAGAAGTCAAATTTAACCTCGTGTGTATCACTGAGATTTATAAGAATGAGATTTGGTGTCTGGAATACAACTCTAGAAAGGTATACCTTTTTTACAAGAAATAGAATGTGTAACAGAGAGTCATGGAATCATTGTACATTAAGTCTGCCAGGTCTGGAAAGGAAGGGAGGGTCTTGCATTTTATTATGCTCCAACTACCCTCCCCACCCTCTTACAACTTTATACTGGCTGCTAAATATTTAATATCAATCACAGTCACCTTTCCACTAAGCAGTCAGCTTTAATTTTAAGATTGAGATTTTAAAAATAGGGGGGTTTTTTGGGGGGTGGAATGTTGGTTTCTATTAGAATGACAACTATGTAAAGTGTTTACAGCAAAAATATCTCCATAAATACAGTCCTGGATTGTATTTTCAAATCACAGTGACCTCATGACTGGTCAGAGTATAAAATTTATTTAAAATTAATTCAAGTGAATATTCACTTCTAACTCTCCTTAAATGAAAGACAAGAGGGTCTAATAACAGCAAAATTCTTTATTTACTAGCCAAAACAATCCTAATTACATCAAAGCTTGGAAATAAAACTGTTTGCAAGTAGTCAGTCACTGATAACAGACCACAGTACAGAAGAGAAGAAGAAAAAAGCAAGAAAGTTTGGTTGGAGAGTTTGCTCATTGAACTGAGCTGGTTCATTCATAACAGCTAATTCCTGTCCCATATGAAGATGGAATTTCTTTACTCAGCCTTCTCATAGACCCTGTGGCAAGTCACATTGTTCATAATACAGTCCTGGGGAAAAAAAAAGTAGAGATTAAAACAGATTAGTGTTAATAACATCTTGGTTCAGGAGTATGAGGAAGTGTAGAACAGAATGTCATATGCTTTGAAAACTTATCAGGGTGGGGCAGCTAGATGGTGCAGTGGATAGAGCACTGGCCCTGAAGTCAAGAGGACCTGAGTTCAAATTCGGCCGTAGACCAAACACTTGACACTTACTAGCTGTGTGACCCTGGGCAAGTCACTTAACCCCAATTGCCAAAAAATAAAGGAAAAAGAAAAAAAAAGCAAAACTTATCATGGCATCAAAGATCTAGAGCAAACCAGCAAGAATGGTCTCTGGGCAAGCCCATGATGGTAGAGGATGAACCCATGACATTTTGGAACCTTAGAGCCTTACAGTTGGATAGGTCCATAGAAATCTATTTAATTATTTCATTTTACCATTGAGGAAGCTGAGATCCTGGCAAGGAGAGTTTTTCTGAAGGTTCCATGGCTAATGATATAACTATTTCACAGGGTTGTTGGGAGGAAGACATTTTGTAAACTATGAAGCAGGATGTAAGAGTGGGCTATTCCTGAAAGGAAGAATTGGAAAGGACCCAGGCAGGAATGTGTAGTTTACTCAATATAAACTTACTGCCATCACTAAGGAAGACAGTGCTCTTGCTTAGAGGCCCACCTTTGTCTATGAGCAATAAGCTGTACAGTGCAGAGAATGTTCTATTTGGAGACAGCGTATCCAGATTCAAAGGAAGGCTAGTGTTTGCATCTTGGACAAGTCCTTTGTATTGGGGGCTTTGGTATCTCTGCTGCTGGGCATGGTTCTATTTACTTTCAGTGACATGGTCTAATTTACATAGACTAGAGATAAAGGAGGAATCTAAGAGATATGAAAGGCTTTTGACTTACCACCAATAGCTTTCCATCTTCTACTTTTCTTGTTATTGTGCTTTCCTTCCCATCCCATTCCTGTAGCTGGATCAATGTATCATTGTCAAGGGTACAAAGAGTCTAAAGAAAAATAAAATTTCCAGATTGTATTGCAAAGCGAATATTTCCTAATATAAGTGTTTACTTGATTGAGACCTTTGATAGAAGACTGTTTCTATATTTGCAGCTACTTCCCTTGTGAAATTTTATTTGCTATGATTACACTCTAATACTCTAATATTCTCTACATACTCTGTATATATTGAGAGATATTTTACATAAAACTTAGAACACCATATTGGAATATTTCAGCCTTCAAGCTCCCTAAACTATTTTTGTAAATGAATTTTACTTGTAGGAGTTGATGTTTACAAGTTTCTTACTTCAAGATCAATAAGGAAAATATATATGTCCTTTTAATTTGGTTCTTGACTAAAAACAGAAATTTTAACAAGGAATTAAACTATTTTTATGGAAGTTATTTCAGTTGTAACAAAGGACAAAATGTCATCACTGACCTGAGTTTTCCTGCCATCGGGTGTGGTTTCATCAAATTTCTCATCCAGTTTAAAAGAGATTTGTGTAGTTTTTATGGTACTCTCAGTCTTAATGGTAACTACACCCCCATTTTCAGAGATATAAACATCTGGTTTGGCCATTCCGGCCATTTTCCTCAGGGCCATCCCCACTCCTGCCAAAGAAAGTTACAAAATGTTAAGCCACATAAAGACTGATGAAAGAAGTCACTAATTTGTAGTATTATATTCAAAATAAACAGTCCAATTGAGTTTAGTCAACAAGACATAGGAGGAAAAAAAAGATGATTAAAGTTGATTTACCGAAAACAACTCATTTATGATACTTAATGGAAGTTAAGTGCAATAATCAAGCTTAGAAACCTCCAGAGCTTATTCATGCTTCTCCATACCATTTGCTCTGACTCAGCTAGCATTCTTCCTTCTTAGTCAATACTATTGATCAAGACAGGAAAGTTATTCGAAGATGTTCCAATAAGATCATTTGGTAAGTCATATTATACTTCCAATTTCCAAAGGTAAGATTTCAAGTAACACGGTTTTAGAATAATAACAGAGGAATTTCAAACACACTTGCCTTCTCTGCCACCACCACTACCCCCCAACACACAAAAAGGGAGTGAACACTTAGGATCATAGCATCATAGATCTGGAAAGACCCTCAAAGGTAGTATAGTTTGATATACTCATTTTACAGATGAATAAGTTCAGGCCCAAAAGAGGCTAAGTGACTTGCCCGTGGTCACACATAAAATAAGTGATAGAGCCAAGATCTGAACCCTACTCCTCTGAAAATCTACCATTCAAAAAAAAAAGATTCAATTTGCAAAATTACCTAATTACCAATGTAACTACACATTTAAGGCCTTATATTACTAACTAGACTCAAGATGAAAAAGCACTACTTAATCTTAATCTTACTACCATACTGTAGTTTTTAAGGATCGGTTAGATACTACAAGTAAGAGTATGTAGTAAGTGATATTTTATTTGCATACGTGCCTCTGATGTCACCACCATTTTTAGTATTGGAATGGGACTCATTTTATAGATGTAAACAAGCCAAGATAAAATTAATAGATACTTAATGAAAGATCTGGATTTTTTAAATCCCAATACAGTGTTCTTAACTACTACCAATTCATCTATGGTTAGAACTCTCAGGTAACAAAATGAAATGTTTGAATCTCAGCAAGTCCAACTGCCCAGAGATGCTAGCTGGGCATCCCAAAGAATTCTCCCTCACCCAAGCACCCCAGTGCAGGGAGAGAACACAACAATCAGTCCTGTGCCTTCTGAAATGGACCTGGTCCACTTGCCTTCCGGGGAAAAGAAACTATTAAGAGTTTGGGGTTTGGGGTTTGTTTCGGGCTTTTTGTTGCTGTTGTTCTTTGGCTGTTAGTATAAGCAAGAAATTCTGCAGGCTTCCTTGAAGCCATTCTAAGTTTAATAACAGCAAGTTTAACTTAGTTTTCAACTCTTTTGCCCTTAACATAAATGAAAGACAGCAGTCACCAGACAACTTTGACAATCTGTCACAACTGCTCCAATATTCTTCAACTACCACTGAATCCTAATAACCAAGACTAAAGGAATCAATATTATTGACCTAAGAAACATTGATGTAAGGAAAAAAAAAGCAAACACTGTTGGAAGGAAGTAGGAATTACTTGAAATGTTGTTATTTGGGGAGGGGAGGGGAGAACCAGAAGAGTGGTAAGCTCAACTCCCAGGGCAGTACTGATTCCTCTTGGAGTGGAATTCAGTGACTTATATATTTGTCTCACAGTGAAGACTAGCTTGTTAGATCCTTAAGATCAAACACTGTATTTCAATCTTCTTTACATCCCCATGCAGATCTTGATATGGTGCTTTGCCCGTTGCAGGTACTAAATAAACTCCTCGTGTGACTAAAATAGCAAAAAGAGACTTCTGTTTCCTTCACAAGCAGTGTAGAAGAAAGATCAAAGGGCTAGGAGTATAGATGTAGATCTTAGAAGTCAGCTAGTCCAAGGTCCTCATTTTACAAAAGAGGAAACTGATCTGAGAAATAAAGTGAAGACTTGCCCAAGGTTAAATATTCATAAGCAGCAGAGGACTCAAAATCAGGATCTCTGATTACAAATCCAGCCCCTAGTGTCAAGATATGCGAGTTCTAATCCTGGCTCAACTCATCATATAACTTTAGTCTGGACCTCAGTTTACTTAGCTGTACAACGAGATGGCTGAACTGGTTGATCTGTAAGAGGTGCACCAGATCTAGTTCCTTAGAACTTCCCAGCTACAAAGATAAAGGAAAAAGGGTAGGTGCTATTGCAGGGTATTACTGGCCATTCTCCAGGCAGACTGATTTTTTGGAGAAAGCCAGAAGAATGAATTTCCAAATGCAGATTTTTCAGCAGCAACTGCAATTCCCAAGGATTAGGACATCAAACAAAGGAACGCCCATTAGATTCAGGTCCTCCAAGCCTGTTAAGTTGGGTTGCCAGCCTAATTTGCCCACCTCTCCAACCCCCGCCCCCTCCACAGCAAAACCTATCCCCAGAAAGGAGAAAGCACTAGCGCCACACCCCATGATCTCTGCCCCCTCCCACTGGGCAGGATGCTCTTACAAAGGCAGGTGTTATGGCCCTCATGGCTTCCGGGAACTTTAAGGAGAGAAGCTCAGAAATGAATGAAAGCGCAGGAGCTGCCGCTGATTCCCCAAACCGGCAATCCCTGAGCAGGGTAGCACCATGCCTCCCTGAGAGAGGGCACGCCAGAGTCCTTCCCTGAGGCCCAGCAAGGCAGGGTTCCCGAAGGAGACACGGATTCAGCTAAGACAACTTGGCCGTCCGTGAACAAAAGAGGCAGTGATGGGTAGAACCAAGGGAAAATTAAGAGAAGAGAGAAGCAGGCAGCCACTAAGTGGCCACAAACGCAGAGGGGAAAGGAAAAGAGGAGGTAGAGCTTGCTAATTCTGCAGCCTCAGCTTCCTCCCAAAGCCCAGACCGTGCCAGACCCGCCACGCGGCACCAGGGGCTCGCTGGGGACAGCTCAGCATCTCTCCTCCCGATACCCCGGGGCAAAGACCAGACAGACGTGCCAGACTGACACACATCTGTATGCAGACACACATCTGCATGCAGACGCGCGCGCTCGCTTTTCCCAGAATAAAGAAAGCATGCCTCACCCAATTCCTTCATGTACTCGTCAAATCCTTTACTTTCCACGAGGCGCCACCTGCCTAGCAGCTGCTTGGGAAAGGTCATGGTGAATTCGGACGAGAAGAGGAGGTAAGAAACCCTGAGAAGAGCAAAGCGTTCCGCTGAAAGGTAGAGGACCAGCGTGCAGACGGCCCCAGGTCGGTGCCTCCCATATATAGAGGTCTGGCCATGTGAGGCGGTGGGTTGGACCAATGAGAGCACAGGAAGCCCGGCCTCTTTCCATTCCCCCGCTCCACTCCCTACCCCCCTCATTTTCGTAGTGGGTTAAGAGGTGTGAATGGGCTTCACCTGCCAAGAGCCTCCCTGAGCCTGGGGGGGACTCCCATAAGCTCTAACCTCAAGTTAGGACATGCAGCCACCCCTCCCAAAGCACCTCTCACCCCTGCCCTACCCTGCCTCTGTCCAGGCTCCTATCCAGCCTTCTTTCCCTTAACTACTCTAAGAAACCATAGACAGGAAACTGGGGAGGGGAAAGGGAAAGGATCCTCTTCTTTCTCTTTTTGCTCTCTGTGTGTGTGTGTGTGTGTGTGTGTGTGTGTGTGTGTGTGTGTGTGTGTGTAAACCCGCCGTTCTGGTGTGGGTTCCAACTAAAAATCTCCAGGATGTTCGCTTGCAATCCATCTAAGAGGCCAAGCAAGCACATTTGCATGAACAGTGAAAAGTGCTGAACAAACATTTGTTAATTGATAAGCAGCTCCAATTGGCACTGCCTTCTTGCTACCCGCCCTAGCCGCCTCCCCACAAAGCTCCATTACTTCACTTTCCTTGGGAAGGGACCTGAGTCCACCCCCATTTTCTTACTAATAATAATAGTTGTCATTGGTATAGATCATTTTAAATTTTACAGTGCACTTTACATACCTGCCTAGCAACTTTCTCCTGGTTTTTTCCGGGATCTGAATACCTATTTCAGCCTGACAACCAACCCCTTCTTCCCTGGCCACAGGCAGAAACGGAGACATTTAAGAGATCTCTTCTCGTTCTAAATCTGATTTCATTATCTGTAAACGAGATGAGTAAAATAAGCTTAGGTTGGAACTGAAATTTCGTTATCTACCACAGGAAAGAAACCCAGTTGTGGTCTAAGGAAACTAGATGAGATAGGAAAGGGGTGGGGGGTGGGGGGCTAGGATCTGCTACTTCAGTGGTATAAAGAACCTCCCTGGGTAAGGAAGCCCAGTCTACCACTGCAGGTTGGCATCTTCTCTGAAACTTAGTTTTAGAGTATTATCTAGAGCACTGAGACATTTAATGACTCTTCCATGATCATGCAGCTAGTACATGTCAGAGATGAAACTCAAATCCAGGTCTTTCGGCTACCTAGAGACCAGCTCTTTATCCCTTACATCACTACTGCCAGTTGTTGCTGTGTTGCTGCATTTTCCCATTTGTGGATGTTATGAGCTCCTACAGTTTTGGATAATACTTCTCAGTCTTTCCGCAAAATGGACTGCAAATCAAGTTTGGCCTACTTAAACCAGGGGCATTATTACACTGGGGCATTTGGGACTATTGCCCCATTTGGGGATATCTTGTTGTTTGTCCTTCCTTTTCAAAGAGGACCATGACATTAGGAAGGTGATGTCATAACCTGCAAGTGAATTGGTTTTGAGGGAGGGAGGGCTGTGCAAAGTCACCAGCCTCACTCTCCTCCTGAGTCATCTGGGTCCAATAGCAAGATATTCCCTCCACATCTCCAGTCAGAGGATTTAGTATCTATTGTTCGCTCTGGAGTTTTTTGGAGTAGCTACATCTGTCATTTTCAGACAGATGCCAAGGACCTCTTATGTTGAATCTAAGTAGGGGAAATTGAAGAAGACACTGGATGCTGTGAGACAAATGCCCCCTTATTAATGGCCAGCCAGAAAGGCACAGCAACCAATTACAAATACATCTGGGAAGCATGATAATGAGCAACAATTCAGGCAGCCACTGACATAGATAAAAAGAGGGAATGGTTCCCTTCACCTATGTTTTAATGTGCCCCATAACTATTTCAAAGATCCTATGATTTCAAGATACCAGATGTAACCTTGATTCTGGTAATAAATCATTCTGTTTTGACTCTCTCTCTCTCTCTCTCTCTCTCTCTCTCTCTCTCTCTCTCTCTCTTTCTGTTTCATTATTTAACCTCTCTGTGAATTATTTTCCTCAATTTTAAAAAGAAAAGACCAAGTCAATTATATCTAAGATCCTTCCTCATTCTAGTTTTGGGGTTACCATGAGAAAAGCTTTGGAAATGGATACAAAGGTTCTCAGTTTAAATCTGAACAACCCCACATAATTACATGATGCTAGGCACATTATCTGACCTTGGTGGGCCTCAATGTCCTTATCTATAAAATGAGGGGTTGGATTAGATGACCTCTGAGATCTCTCCAGGCCTAAATCCATGATTTTGTGATTCTATTTTTAAAAAATGATTATAGTAATATGCTTCCCAAAAGAGAATGAGAATACTCTATTTCCACCTAGTGGTGAGAATATAATATTTATTTTGCATATTGATATTCAATGTCCTAATATCAATGATTTCTCAATTATGCACATAAGTTGACTTTGTGCAATATCTTTACTTACATAACTGTTCATTTGACAAATAGTTATTAAATACCTCCTGTGGTCTACCTCCTGTGGAGGAGGTAGAAAGACATGATGAGATGTATCTGTCTAGTAGGAAGATATACACACATATATAGTGAATGTGTAATATCTACATATATACACACTATATATTATATATATACACTATATAGTACATATAGTGTATATATATACATATATATACATATATATATACATATATATACATATATATATATATATATATATACACACACATATGTATACACACAGATAATGAATGTGATTGCTGAACCACTATCAGTGATCTTTGAGAGAGCAAAAGGAATAGAGGTGTATCACAGTAAGCACTAAAGGATAATCAACAAGAACAGGTCATACCAAGCTAATTTTATTACCTTTTTTGAAAAAGTTACTAGACCGATAGAACAAAGGGGTGCTATAAATGTAATTTACCTCAATTTTAGCAAAATACTGGACGAAGCCTCTCACGCTAACCTTGTAAACAAGACAAGAAAATATGGACTAAATATTATTAGGGATAGATGAATTTGAATCTGGTCTAATGACTTGTGTGTATACACATGCATACATACATACGTTTATATCCTTCATCTGTTGCCTGAGCTTCAGAGTCATATCACCAATTACATGTTGGACATGTCTTCCTGGATATATCATAGACATCTCTGACTCAACATGCCCCAAAGAGAACTCTTTACCTTTCCCTTAAACCCAGAGCTCTTCCTAACTTCCATCATCATATTGAAGGCACATCCTTTCACACAGGTGCACAACCTTGTCATCAATTGACTCTTCCCTCTCCTCCATGCTCCATCTCCAATCACTTGACAAGGAGGTTCTACCTCTATATCTTTCACATCCATTCCCTTCTCTCCACTCACACAAAATGTTTTAAAAAAATGAATGATCTATGTGGAGGTAATAGAACATATGCTATGCATAGTTGATGGGGTGGTGGAGGTGGAATGAATCCTTTGATCACTTTGCCAAGCTTATGAGAAACACCCTTAATTTCCATAATTAGTACAATTTTCGCTTTTGCATGTTCCTCCCAGATTACATACAGCTTTCTTACATCCAAAGTGCCCTGGATTTGGGACTATAAGAGTGAATAACCTGAGCTTACTTAACTTCAGTTTCCTCATCCATACAATGAAGATGACAGTTATTACTTGCTTTACCTATCTTATAGGCTTATTGTAAGGATCAAATCAGAGAATGTATAGAAAATAGTAAATAAATGTTATTGATATTATTACAAACTAAAGTGGGAAGCTACAGAAACTGAATAAGTATACAATAGCAAATTTAAAAAAAAAGGTCAAGAGCCAATATTTTCTTCTCTCTCTGCTTCCAGAAAGAGATGATTGGTAGGGGAAAGAACTTAGAAGAGACCTGTTAAATTTGACTTTTTTGTCTAAATCACTTCTCTGACCCTTTTCTTTTCTGGTGTGTTTTACGTTAGACTTACTTTGAATTCCTGGCTTATACCCAGACCTTGGAAGGGTGGGAGTGATGCCCTATTTGAAAGTAATACATAGAATTTAGTCAATAAAATCACAGAAGGTACAAAGGTCACCTGCCTCTTGTCCACACTTTGTAAGAAAAAATTCCCATCCCAAAGACCCAGGAAGTCTTTCATTCTTTCTCATACAATATCACAGTGCTTTTTTACATCATCTTAAGGGATTGTGTAGAGGTGACCATAAGCACTTCTCCGAATCACATCAACCTCATTGCAGGGGCATCTGAGCTCATCTGGTCTAATCCGTACCTGAACAAGAATTTTCACTACGACATCCCCTTAAAAGATCATCCAGACATTTCTTTGAAGACTTCCAATAAAGAGAAACCCTTCCAGGCAGCTCATTCCTCTTTGGAATGGCTCTAATTGTTAAAAGGCTTTGTTTTGTTTTCTTACTTCCATTCAAAATCTGCCTCTTTTCAGTTTCCATTCTTCATTCCTAGTTCTGCCTTCTGGGTACAAGCAGGTGCTTTTTGGGTTCTCCATCCAGAATATTAAACTGTTGTATCCTAGGTCAGTTTTTATTTTAGCAATCCAAAGGTTATATTCTCAAGTTGCTTTCCCTGTTCAAAAGGATTTCCTGGTTATTCATGGCACAGAGTAGGTGAAAAGACCTTGTGTAAATAGCACTCTTTTCTACACTGAGGTAAATGTTTTGTTTCAAAGTCCTTTTGCTTGCAACTACAGTCTCTACCTGCAGTGATTGGCTGTTAGTACTTAACTTTTCACTTTCACCTTAAGGAAGACTCAGTCAGTTTGTTCCACAAGGGTTGCCTATTTCTGATTTCTCTTCAGTACTCCACGTGTGGACTTGTATTGCATCACATAAAGTATTTCAGTATAACATGTCTTCCTTAGGATTACTCTGTTTTGTCTTCTTATAAAACAAACAGTCACATATCTAATTATGCTTTGATGGCAAAATGAAGCAGAAGTTATAGTGGATAGTGCTGGCCTTAAAGGCAGGGAGACCCAAGATCAAATCCTACCTTGGACAGTTACTACTTGTATGAACCTGGACAAATCACTTAACTTTGGTCAGTCCCAGTTTCCTCATCTGTAAAATGGAGATAATAAATAATAGCACCCACCTCATAGCTTTATTGTGAGATAATATGATGAGATAATATAATAT